AGAGACAGAGAGACAGAGACAGAGACAGAGACAGAGACAGAGAGAAACAGAGAGAGACACAGACACACACACACACACACACATACATAGAGAGAGAGAGAGAGAGACAGAGACAGAGACAGAAAGAAACAGAGAGAGACACAGAGACACACACACAGACACAGACACAGACACAGACACAGACACACACACACACACACACACACACCAGAGAGAGAGACACAGAGAGACAGAGAGACAGAGAGAGAGAATGATGTGGCTCTATGTTGCCTCTACCCCCAAAATGCCTACTCCCCCAAACCTGAATAAATCCAATTAAACTTACTCCCAATAAATGTTTCAAAAGAATACAGGCATCTCTTTGGATGTAGTTAAGAAAACAGTGTTCCTGGCTACCTCCTCCACGTGCTGAGCTTAAAATCCCTACCCTTCTAGGGGAGGGTTCATTATGCCAGGCTCGTGGAATTTTATGAAAGAAAAAGCTGTGGATTTTTTTCCACAGCTCCTTCCATTCCCCCCCCCCCTTTCCCCCCCTTTTCTTAACAAACGCCACCGAGGAGAGGACAAACTAAAGATGACTTATTTTGGCTGAAAACTGCGGGGAAGAAGCACCATGGGAAAAAGTTAGCTTTTTGCACGATCGCAATGCATGGCAATTTAACCAAAAAAAACCCCAAAAAGAGCACCTTAGACAGAGAAATACATAGAAAAGTGCTTTCATTTTTGACTCCACTAAGAGGTTCTTTACCCTTTGACCTGCACTGGTTCCTAAAATCCCTAAACCATATTTGAATGTCTTCCAGTGCTGTCAACTTTTCATTAATAGAATCAATAGTTGTTTTTTTTCCCAGCACCAAACAACTTAAAGGTTTATTTTTATTTTTATTTTTATTTTATTTATTTATTTTCATCAAGCATGTATTTTATGAGAGATACAAGTGTAAACATAATTATAAATACATGAAAAAGATACGAATAAAAGAAAACATTAGGACATGGACGGTAGACACGCTGGTACTCTTATGCACGCCCCTTACAGACCTCTTAGGAATGGAGTGAGGTCGACAGTAGACAGTCTAAGGTTAAAGTTTTGGGGATTTTTTTTCTTTTTTTTAGCAAACCACATCAATCATCAAAACCACATCAGCAACTTATTCAGTGGATTCCAGAAAACCCAAACTTTTCTTTCAGGATGCAAACAGAATCTCATACACTTTGCCCTCTGTTCTGTTGCAGTATCTAGGGGCACCTATGACTGTATTAGCAGCTGCATCATGTTTATCTAAGATGCCCTCGGTTTGAATTCCTGGATCTTTTCTTAAAGGCTAAGCTATCCTAGCCAGGAGGGGGGGGGGAAATCTATTCATCTCAATTTCAACTCCTAGGGTCAAAAACCCTCCTTGAACTTAATAACAAAAAAAAGTTGTATGATTCCCTATGCCGTGCATTTGAAGAGCAGCATAGATACACAACTTCATTCAACGGGATTGTAATTTTTATTCCTGTTTTAGAGAACTGTAGCAAATCAGAAAATATGCCAAGCCAAGATGCCACAAACAGTACTGAAATTTTTTTTAAGAGGAAATGTCTAAATATCCTTCTATTTTTTTTCCTTAGGAAAAAAATAGAATAGCAATAGCAATAGCAACTTAGACTTATTTACTGCTTCATAGTGCTTTTATACCCCTCTCTAAGCCATTTACAGAGTCAGCCTATTGCCCCCAACAATCTGGGTCCTCATTTTACCCACCTTGGAAGGATGGAAGGCTGAGTCAACCTAGAAATTACTTACCTGAGAATTTCATAATCATATGTTTAACTGTGTATGTCTCTGTGTATACGCTGAAAAGGTTTGGCGATTTTCTTATATTTTCTACATCCCGTTCTAAGTTCAGAGACCAATTGAGTCAAAGGAGATTTGATTGAATCTCAGAAACAAATTTGACTTTTGGAATTACCTCTCTGTTTGAGATTGAATCTTCCATTGCCTCCAAATCTATCCAAAGATTTGGAAGATACATAAAAGTCATTTCCCTCACTTGTAATTTAATTAACTTTCTGAAGTGAATTGACCCAAGTTGTTTAGAGCATTGAATTAATGTCCTTTTCTAAATCAATTCCATGATTTGAATCAACTCGGCTATCTGAGTCAAATCAACAATCTGAACTGGATTAAAACTGAATTGGGTGCACCATGGCAGAGTCACATGTAACTAACATACAAAGAATATGAACGTTTATCAAAACAGAAAAAAAAAGAATCTTACTTCATTAGAATTAAGATCCATAAACTTAAAAAATGAAACAACCCTCTTTATCTAGAGGGTTCTTCTTATTTATTCTTATAAAAAAAACTACTCAGAATCCTACAAATCTATTGAATGATTTGCATCTTTCAACAACCTTTGCTTCCATGAATCTATTTCCCTATTACAATCTCTAAATTTATGGTCAACGCCCCATCAAGTACCACCAAATATGATAACTTCACCGAGTTATATGAACAAACACTTCCTTGTTGATGCTGTGGTTTCATAAATTGTGAAATTAAGGCTTGAGAAAGAATACGCACTAAAAGACAGTAAAGAAGATGAGACATGAAAGAAAAGCCAATCCCTACACTGATATGGTAACAAGACCACACTTCTCAGAAAAACTACAACTGTCTTTCAAAATCCCTGGTACCAAAACGAGGAGAGGTTAAGTAACTAACAAACCAATGCAAACACAGAGATGTATTTAATCACAGATTCCTCCACTACTCGAAAGAATGCATAACTAAACAATATGTAATGATATAATCCTTGGCTTCTACAGTATATGATACACACTTCAATTACAGTAGTTCAAGTATATCTGGCAATACTTGCTATTATTCATCTCTTTTACAATCCTTTCTTCTTTTAGTCTTCTTTATTGGAAAAATATAGGTGGCAGTTTCTTTTGTCATATTCTCTGGTTTATTTTCCTACATATATATATATATATATATTGATGGTGTTCCAGGAACAAACAAAATGAGTTGTTACCAAAATGTTTCATTATATGTGAATAAGGAATGAGAGTAATAATAAAGGAGAAAAACAAATGACAATTGTAATTTTACCACTCTCCTTCTCAAGCTCCGTAAGTATTAACGATATATTATATTCAGTGTATTTAGATGTTTCATAGATACTTTATAGTCAGTAGATTTAGATGTTTCATAGATACTTTTTATGCTTTTCTATTTCATTTGTTACTTTTCAAGTATTGGAAGATCTTCTATCCACAGTGCTTTTAAGTATCATTACTTTTAGTCATGCTTATTTACTCGTAGTCAAATCAAAATTGGCAGTGTTAAGAACTTGATTGCACACCCCTTGCATTCATTTATAGTTTACTCATCTTTCTCATGTAAAATTCTTCTATTTTTAAATATGCACTTTCTCAACATTCTCAAAAGTGTTTTCATTCATTCATGGGTGAATAGGTACTCTAATGAAAAAATTAAACTGTGAAACTTCTTAAAAACACTTTCCAAAATTTCCACACTTCTATTTTTCTCATAAACTGCACATGACACGAAACTGCATGTAATAAAACTTCATAAAGTTAGTTATAACTAACCGCCAACCGTTACTCTAGTTACCTCACAAGTTCAAAATTGACTTCTTCGGAAAACTCCCTGCATACATACATATTGTCTAATTCCAGTTACCTGTCCAAATTAGAACCTTGCCCACTGATGAAGATCTTATACATGATCTCTTGACGTTTCAGATCTTAAAGAACAGAGTATAAAAAATTGAGAAGAGTCAAATGATCCTAAAAAATCTCTACCTTTTAAATTTTTTCTTTAGTAGGTAATTTTAAAAATATACATAAGGTGATGACAAGGAGAGGAAGAAAAATTGGTCTAAGTATAAATATATATTTATGTTTATCATGTGTTATCATGTGAGATGTGGGGGAAAGAAAGGAAAGAAGAAGAGAAGAAAGAAAGAGAGAAAGAAAGAAAAGGAAGGAAGGAAGGAAGAAGGAAGGAAGGAAGGAAGGAAGGAAGGAAGGAAGGAAGGAAGGAAGGAAGGAAAGAAAGAAGGAAGGGAAGGATTTCTACAAATGATGGGAAAAAAATTAAAGTAGGCTCAACAAACTATGTGCCAAATTAAACTAATGAAAGGAATTAAACAAACATAAGTTTGTGTGAAAAGAAGAAACAACTGAATTAGTGCCAAATAACCCAAGTCAAACACATGCCAGGTTGTCCACACATATATAAAAAAGATTTATTACAGTTAACTTGGTTTCATCCCCTAATAAAAATCCTTTTGAAACCATCTTTTCAACAACTGAGAATTTTCCCAAAGGGTCCTTCAACGGCACCATTGAAAACATTTTCTGTGTTGGCTCACATTTTTTACTCTGTTCTTGGCTGATCCTTCTCAATTTAACACAGCCCGAACTTCCAGGAACTAAGCTGAAAGCAACAAGCAACAGTCATCATAAAAAGATACTTGCTTAGCGTTGGGTCTCTTTTGCTTCAGAAGCTCCAGAAGTATTTTAATAATAATAATAATAATAATAATAATAATAATAATAATAAACTACAGTCCAGAAAGGGGACGGTTTTATTTTTCTCCTGCACCCACCTGTCTGTCTGCTGCCTTTCCCCCCCAAAAAAACTCCATCCAAGAGGATATTTACCTGCAACCTCAGCCTACCTAACCGGTTTTAACTTTCAAGCCAGAGGTGATGTTGATGGCGATCGTTTCTTCCCCAAGCAAACTCAAGAAGACGAAAAGTCGAAACGGCTCTAGCTAACACAAACCCATCCAAAAGCTCTGAAGTCGTACTTTGGCCCAAAATTAGTCCACTAAAAACTACACCCCCTCCAAGGCCAGGCAGGGACGGTGTGTCTATATACTATACACCCGCGCGCTGAGACCCACACACACACACACACACACGTATTCCATCCGTTCCTTTTACCGGCAAAAGAGAAGGTGGTACCCACTTACCTCTCTTGCCCTTCTCGTTCCTGTTGGCTCTTCCTCGGTTTGGAGGGGGAGAGAGGGATTCTGTCCAAGCGCCTCTCGGTTTTGGGCAGCGCTTTTTGGGAGGAAGGGAGGAACGAAGCTAGAGTTTTCTTCCCACGATGATGCGACGGTCCCTCCTTTAATCCCAAGCAGGGCATCGATTTCTGCGCGGTTTCTGGGCTGCGCGAAACGAGACAAACCCTCAGGTGCCAAATAGCATCTTCCTTTCGTTTTCGAGATTGACGGGTGGGTTAAGGTTGGAGATCTGAGCTTAACCCGCCTCTTATCTCTCTCAATCTTTTTTTGTTTGTTTGTTTGTTTGTTTCTCTGTCTGCTCTTTCTTTTCTCTCTCTCTCTCTCTCTCTTTTTCTCTTTCCCTCTTTTCTTCCTCTTCTTCTTCTTTTTAAATGCTCTCTTTTCCCCCTCTTTTTTCAGACTGGGGTGATTTGGGAGAAATAGGTATAAAAGACCACCTCTGGTTGGTGATGCTTTCGCGATCCCGGTCTCTCCGCCAATGCCTACTTGCTTCTCGCTCGCTCGCCCGCCTCCGAATGGCTGGGAGCTTCTCGCAAGCTCTGTGTGGTTGTGTCTCTGTGTGTCTCTATGTGTGTGTGTCTGTCTGTGTGTGTAGGAGCGCGCGTGTGTGCGCGCACGCCTCCCTACCCCCCCCCTTCCACTCCACAACTCACACACCCAAAGCGCCTCGCTGCATCGTTGGTGAAAAGGTTCGTTCAGTCTTATCGCTTTTCAGCCAGTAGCGGATTTCAAACCGGATGCGCCAATGCGTGTAAACCCGGGTGAAAAAGGAGCGATTGCCGAGTTGAGTTTCACCCTTAGGCAGAGTTATTCAGCGGCAGATCCCATTGAGCCCAACGGAGATGTCGCCTACATGGGCTGGTAATGAGCGTGTATCCCACTGCATTCATCTTAGCTAAGAGTCCCCTAAAATCGTTACATCAGTAAAAAGATGCACTTGGAATCGGATAGCGGAGAACCGCAGCTCTACGGAGTTACTCGGAGGAAGGACCCATTGAGCAAAATGATGCCCCTTCCCAAGACACATGAAGTATTGCGTGCGGGGCGATTGTAGTTTTATTTGCACGCTTTTGCTTGTTGGCAGATCCCGTTAAAGGCCAAGGAACTGCTCCTAAAAATCACTTCACATTGGCAACTACTAGTTGTGCCTGAATTTTGATCCGGATTTAATGTTCGAAATAGCATTGGGTTCAGTGTCGCCTACTCACTGGACGAAATAGCACTGGGTTCAGTGTCGCCTACTCACAAGTAAGTAAGTTGTATAGGTGTAAACCTACCTTTATGCATGCTTCCATGGTGGTATTGAATTCAGCATGATTTTTATTTTTTTTTAACTTTGTAGAACATTGCAGCTGTTTGTGCTTTGGTTTTTAATTGTATTGGCCATATTGTGTGTATTTATTACACAAAATCATATTTGTGTGTGTGTGTGTGTGTGTGTTTGTGTGCATGTACCTAGGGTGGCATTTGTCTCCCTCCTTTTGTTACATCCTCTATTTCTATGATTTCTCTATTTTTATTATTTTTATATGCCTTTCTATCTGATTTGTTCAATTTGCATTTTTGAACTTTTGCTTACACATCTTGTTATTCATGCTTGACTGACTACAATTATTTTTTTCCTAAAAATTCAGCTATTTGGTATTTTGGGTTTCTTTTATCCTTGTTTTCTCTTGTCTTCATTTCTTTGTTGTTGTTTGAAAAGTAGTTCCAAGATCTGTTCTGAATCCTAGAAATACATAATAAATGTATCTACTTTCCTAACTTTAAAAGTATTTTTACTAGGTTAAAAAAAAATCCCACTGATTTTATATTTCAGTAAATATCTTTGACCTGCAGTCCCAAAGAGTTACCCTAAATGTATTGACTCCTGCCAGGTGCAATCTAGAATTACTGCCAGGTGCCATCTAGAATCTATTGTAATAAATATTCAGAGGCTAGAATGCAGCCTAACTAAAAACAAAAAAATGTTTTGATTAGATGCAGAATATTCTTGATCATCACATAAAGTGTCAGTGTTATTTAAGGTTTAGGTTTGCCCACATAAATGTATTGTGTGGGCAAACCTAAACCTTAAATAACACTGAAAGTTTCTCTTGCAGAAGATTCAAGTTTTCAATAAGTTTTTATTATATGAAAAAAGTTATTCCTGATTTTCTTGTTCCTGCAAGGAACAATGCATTAATTGAGATTTCCGTTAACTCGTTACTCTAAGGAAGTTTCTCTGTTCTGAACAGAGAATAGTTATTGCCCTTAAGGATGGGCTCTGGAGCAAAAATCCAGAACAGGTGCTGAAGGTCTTAGAAGGAACTCAAGTAATGCCATTGCCATCTAAAGTCAAAGATGCTCTGTAACTTGTTAACTTTGTGTTAATATACAACCATTGTTGTCAAGAATATAACAATTGTAAACCAATAGTTGCTTGTAAGCAATAGCTTATTGACTTACCATGGAGGGTCAACAATTGTTTTGCAATACATTGTGAATAATTGTTTTGGGTGCTTTTTCCCCTTCTAGTCTATGCTTTGTACTTCAAAGTCCATCTTGCTTCTGCCATCTCATGTTAAAGTCCATGGACTTCACTGAAAATTATGAAGAGATGAAGCTGCCCTAGACAATGAAGACTTTTGGCCAGTCTAAAGTAGAATTGATTTATACAATGATTGGTGGCATTCTAAGGAATTTTTTAAAATGCATAAGACATTGTAATGTCTAACAATTTATAAAAATGTAACATGCACTTTGTTATGCAGGAAATTTAGATGGAACCCACATGATGGCAAGCACACAATGTTGTCATCACAAAAATTTCACCTTCCTATAGTAGGGTAACAATGCCTGAGGCAAGTACCTAAATTGTGGGCTTTGCATCACAACGTCATTGTGCTGGTTTCATTCATACTCCCTACTCCTAACCACCCCTACCACAATGCTTATGAAGTGTTGGAAGCATGTATAATAATAATCTGATTGGGAAAAACTGAAAAAAAAATACTGGGAAATACAGTAGTTGCATTTTCTAATTCCAGGTTTTGGAGCTTAGATGACATGATGATTCCTTCCAGTTGTCCAACATCAACCTATAAAAAGGTAGGTGGAATAGGAATATAGGAACCCCCTTGAACTCTACTTTCATATTGTATATGACTCCAGATACCAGATTTCCAGAAGTTAATGGTAGTTTACAAGAGGTTCCAAGGAGGTTAGCAAAAATGGCACAAGATCTTGAGCTCATGCCTCCAGAGGTCAGACTGAAAAAATTCAGATATCATGTTTTTCTTCAGTCTGAAGAAAAGAAGACTAAGCAGAGATATTGCAACAATGTTCTGGTATATACAAGAGTATCATAGAGAAGATGGGCAGGAATTAACTTCTATTGCCACAGAAACTAAAGCAGTTTAGTCCATTATTTCATGTTACACATTGCACATTTTTTAATTATTATTAAATATAAGGAACAACCTTCCTAATGGTAAAATCGGTGCAACAATCTACTTAATTGGGGTTCTTCTTCTACAGAGGTTTCTCAGAGATTGACCGGGATGGTTTAATTAGCTTACCTGCATACTGCATTGCAGAAGCTTGGACTAGATGTTCCTTCTATTTCCACAAATACGTTATTTTATGAAGACTTAGAATTAATGGGAAGACTTTATAGGAGTAGCAATAGTGCATGTCCTACAGAAGGCATGGAATGACTGTCCCACTCCAAAGCTTAGAAGTAGGGCCACTGTTTTCCTTCAGCGTTTTCCTTCAAAAAGGTGCTTTGATTTACCTCTCCAACCAAATAGCTTATTCCTCCTTTGAAGTTTTGCACAGTCCTAGCATTATGCCGGCAGGGTATTATTTCCAAATAGCAAAGTCTGAGTCCCATATGAAGGTTCATTGTTCTTAAAGGCATAACTCCTTGAATGGTAATGTCCAAGAATAAAGCATCATTTCTTCTTCTTCTTCTTCTTCTTCTTCTTCTTCTTCTTCTTCTTCTTTCTTCTTCTTCTTTCTTCTTCTTCTCTTCTTCTTCTTCTTCTTCTTCTTTTCTTCTTCTTCTTCTTCTTCTTCTTCTTCTTCTTCTTCTTCTTCTTTCTTTCTTTCTTTCTTTCTTTCTTTCTTTCTTTTTTTTTTTTTTTGAAGACTCATTTATAATACATTGTAAAAAAAAATAGAGGAAGAACTACCTGCTCCATGAGATTGAGCAGTCTGGTTTTTCTTATCATGCTTCTTCCCAATCTTTGAACACAATTTTAAAGGCATTTTTTAAAATTTATTTATTTAATTAGCGTATGGTTGGTCACACACAGTATTAAAACACTTCATTTTTACAGGTTAAAAAACAATTAAAACAATAAAAAAAGCAGTAAGAAAACCTAAAAGGAAAATAGAAATAACATTTCAAAGTTTAATGTCGAGTTTGGAGATCCAGTCAGTAGCTGCCGTTGTTATGCAGAGGAAGTCCCTAAAATCTCCTGGATACCTTCTGTTAGGGCATTCCCTCACTATATGCTGGATAGTCTGTCGAGGGGCCCCGCAATCACATTGTGCTGAGGATGTCTTTCCCTATTTATACAGGGAGTCAGCAAACACCCCATGAGTTGTTCTAATTCTGTTATATGTCACCCATATGTGTAGGGGTAGGCTAAATCCTGGAGGTATACTACTAGGACTGATATGCTCGGAGACATCTTGGGGGGAACAAGCCACACCTCCATCCACTTTTGTGTGGTGTTCTGATGATTGGCCATCAACTTACGTGCTGTCAAGATTGGTGGATTTCTTGACTTTAATCGGCATCTTAAGAGATCAGGAATGTATCCATGTATGGGTAGAGAGGAATTTAACAGGATCTTACTATACTCCCGAGTGAGAGCTTCTTGTCGTCGTAAGTGCAGGGGGAGTATGTGACTAAGAACTGGTAACCAGTAACTAGGTGTAGATTTAATGCACCCAGTAATTAGCCTCATCGTATGGTTAAGTTGAACATCAATATTTTTTTAAAAAAATATCAAGTTTGTTCGTTTTCCATCTCCTTCTTTCCCTACTGACATGTATTCTCAAGCACGCAGGAATATATTTCTGTTCTTCGTTTTCCCATTCCTCCTGCTTCAGTTAATAGCCAGAGGAGCAAGAGGGCGAAAGATCCACTTGAAAATAAATGATGTTCCTCAAAACAGATCATCTATGATGTCTTTAACTGACCTCTTACTGTAGCGGCCAAAATTGTGGAAACCTTTTGGGACAAGTGTATTTTTGAGGTTTGATGGCTAATAACACCACTTTTTTTTTTTTTTTTTTTTTGGAGTTTCAAGATAATTATATTCCACTGCTGGACTGGACTGGGAATAACCCAGACTTTAACCCAATTGAAAATCTATGGAGCCAACTAAAGAAACTTGCTAGTCAGAAGCAACCCAGCAATAAAACCCAGTTAATAGAAGCAATCATTCAATCTTGGTTTCACATTCATGGTAACAGCTGCAGAACTAAAAGACTTGGTTCACTCCATGGGAAGACATTGTAAGGCAGTAATTTATGCTAAAGGTTACCCAGCTAAGTATTAACTGACATGATCAATTTTTGGATAGCTCTTTTTTTCTATGGTGATAGTTTTTGTATATCTCGTTTTTTTCTACGTGTTTTCACTTTTCTTTTTTATACTGTAACTGCTATACTAAAAGCAAATCCTTCATAAAAGTTATTGCATTACATTCTTGGTTAAATTATCTTTCCATCGATATATAATTTTATGGTACTACTCCAAAAAAAAAAAAAAAAGTGGTGTTATTAGCTAGTTTTAGAAAATACACTTTTCCCAAAAGGTTTCCACAATTTTGCCACTACTGTAAATGCTGAGAACAAGGGAAGACCAGAAGCTACCCTTGCTGGGTTGCTCATGATCCAGTGAGATCCAGTGAGACAATTGGTTCTTCATTTGGAGATCTGGACCACCCAGAAGCTCCAGTGAGCTGCAGCATTTTCAAAGAAATGTACTTTTTATTGCAAATCCAATTGCCTTACAGCTAAGCCGAAAAGAAATCAGTCCTTGAAGTAGGCTGATACCATGGAATCACGGAGGTTCCAGGGATAGTTTCAAAGTGGCGCAGAGTCTTTATGTGAAAGTGTCCTGCAATATACCGTGAATCTCTTCTTAAACTTTTATATTGCAACAGCCGCAATTGAGGGTAGAGAAGGGAAGGAAACGGAGGAGGTGGGGGACACAAGCTATAAATCTGTCTGGATTGCAATTTGAGTAACATGGTTCCATCCATCTCCCTCGCTGCCTTTTCTGATCCTTTCCTAGTCTCAGGGTTCATCTGATTCTAATTGAATTAGAGTTAAAATAAATTCAACAATCTTCCCAGCAAATGAGATCTCCCTCCCTCCCTCTCTCTCCCCCCCCCTCTCTGTCTGTCTCTCTCCCTTTTCTATAGTAAACTGAAATTTAATCCTCTGCAAGTTTGGCATTTGCTCTATTGGAAGGGGCAGAATTGTTCACCTGAGCCTCAATAGTCCTTTACTAGTGTCTTCAGTCTAGGACTGGTCTGCTAAAAACTGCATGGGATTCTAATTTCAGCTAACTTCTTCTCCCCTTGATGTTTGAGTTTAATTTGCAATAGATAAATCGCATGCAATAGCCCCAGCCTATAGCTCGATGCTTTATCTTGATGCCTTTTTAATTAAAATTAGGTTTTCGCCTACACACGCATTCCCACACACTCTGCAGCCACAGCCCCATTCATTTTAAATATATAGGCCTTAATAGCTACTCTAAAAATGACAGTGATTCTAAGTTCCTTTCTTCTTGCCCCATCTCCAAATATAGTAAGGGGATGGTAAGTGTGTGTGTGTGTGTGTGTGTGTGTGTGTGTGTGTGTGTGTGTGTATCATTTCAGCACTGATGAAGGCAAAACCAGATCTAGCTAATTCCCATGCAAACTCACATGATTGAAGTATAGGATTCTCCCTCCTCCTATTAGTGCAGGTCACATTGTCCAATTGGATGTCATTGTATTGTTATGAGAAAAAGGCTTTGGTTTTGGCAAACACCTGCTGAAGTGTCCTTGGCTCTCACACCTTGTCTTCTTGATGTGTGGAGCCTACATTCCATCTTACCCTTGGTTCATTGGCAAGCTGAGAAGCGATAATAGTTGCAACAGCAAACCTGCGGTTCGAACTTGACACTTGTACTATTACTAAGCAGCAGTAATTGTGTCACTCCTTCTTTCTTTTCTTTTTAGCAGCAGGAGGTATCAAAGTGAATTGTTGGCCTGAAGTTGTCCATCATCTTAAGAATGGGTTCATGCTGGTTTCAAATGTATTCAGAAGTTTAAAAGTGGCAAAAAGAGGCTAGTGATTTCTTTTTGAAGCATCTGAAACAACCACAACACATATCAGCCAGACATACCATGGATGAGGATGAATCGGTCACTGCTGCAGTGATTCCTTATGTTTATTATCCACAAGTTGATGCCCTCCAGATGTTCTGGATTACAAACTTTCCTATTAGCATGTCTTACGGAAGGATTTGGATTTGGAGTCAAAAGCTTTTGAAAGGCTTTAGAGCCACTTCTGGATTTATATGACAACTGTGAGCATGATGCAAATGTTTTATTCTGATATGATACCATCATAACTTTCATATCCACAACTGGAGCTCTGGTAATCATTTGAGGTACTCTAAGCAAACATATTTGCAATGTATTTTACTCAAGTTCATACAATTTAAAATGCCATTAATCACTGTTGGGCTATTTTGAAATGCATATATTAAAGTCTGGGATACATTGTGGTAGAAACCACAGTGATGAAAAATAAGAAAATATGCATTGCAATATGTCATAGGATACATGGCATATTAAGTCACATATTTCTTCATTAGTTCCCTTACTTACATACTCCGATACCCAATGATTTCTTATGCTTCCAGTATCCCTCATCAAAGCCACATACCTGAGATGAGGGAGTGCTATGTAAATTTAATAAATATATAAATAAAATCATTTTCACATTCCTAAGATGCTATAAGTTGTAGTTTTGCAGTAGTTAAAGTGCCACCCATTGCTTTTCCTGGCATTGTACTCATTGCATTAAAATGT